ACAGAAAATTCTTTTAGAAAGTTTTACTGTCAGGGGGAGTAGAGATATGGGCTACATCTTGACCTGAATCAAAAGAGGTTCCTGTTTGAGGGGTTTTTGATGCAAAGTTCTTGGGTAGTTTTATGGTTAGTGACTCTCCAAGCCTCCCTTTTTCTTCTTGATGTTGCCATAACTACATGTGATTTCTAGCTCAAGAAAAACCCCCACACTAAGAAGAGTAAATCAGTTGAAATACTGGGTCATGCTACACTAACAATAAACCTGAAAAATCACAACGGGTTCCAAGACCAAAGTTCAATTAAGTTCACCTACGCGTCCTTCCTATGACCCAAAGTGACTGAGGGACCCAGCAGTACTGAGGGGCCATTTCAACACCGCTGCAGAGGCAGAAAGAAGGGGCATGAGGAACAGTGCTGATGGTGAACCTACATCCCTTCTACTTAATTCCATTCCCAAAGTCAGCCCCATGGCCATACCTGAGCTCAACAGGAAGGGGTGAATAAGCACCTTTGAGAGGGGAGCAGGAGACCTTTGTGGAAATTATCACAAGCTACCCAAGGTAGCGACACAGACACACGAGCAGGACCCAGGCCTTGATCGGTCCTCGAACTGCCAAATTAACCAACTAAGGAGGCCACTCCCGAGGCCTCTGGGTTTTTATGTGAGATGAAACATGCCCTTGTTTCGTTGCTCAGTTTTGATGTTTTCCTCTCAGTCACAGACTGAAATCTATGAACTGTTTCGACCTTATTGTGATGATCTCACTGGTTTCTCTACTCCTGTCGTTACCTAGTCAAGGGGAACAGAAGCTATTTTTCCTTCAGAAACCGTATGTTTCATTCTCCTGATCAATGTTTTCCTTCACTTTCCATGTCCCTCTCCCACCTAAAACAAAAATTAGAATTTCAATCTCTTTTTGCCAGGATGTTAAGATCTTTACCCAGTCTGCCCACAACAACAGCACTTTGTCTCCTCTTTTTCTAACACCTAATGCTCTATTTTTTGCTCCTTTAAAAGCTCCCCCACATGTCTGTAATACTTCCTCCCTCCAACACGTCAGCTTCATGTCATCTTGTGGTTGGTTTAATTCTCCTTTCAATGTCTGATGAAAGCCTGCCCCCAAAAAGTGTAAGAGTAATATCCCCCCCAACATCTGTCTCAACATAATTTTTTCACAAAGATAGTATTTTAGATCTATCAGGTTAACTTCAGAACATGACAAAAATAGATAGCAGTTGATATACAACAATAAATGAATATTATAGTCTCATAATTTAGTAGTAATTCAACAATTTATAACGATTGAAATGATGTGTGAACAAAGGACTTATTTTACACATGATTGCTCTTTTTATTTATTAGTTGAAAAATTGTAATTCTGTTTTCTACCCCCCAAAATATATTTAAATTGTTATTTATATTTTGAACACTGGCAAAGAATAATTATTTCAGATGGTTGTGGACATTCACGGATTCCAAAATGCCTTTTTAAGTAATTCTATGATTAAGACAATTGAGAAATTGATAGAACAAACATTTAAGAAGAGGTTAGTTTAGTTTAGTTTAAAAATCTAAAATAATCAATGTTTTAGAAAATATTATTAAATAATGAATTAGCAAATGAGAAAGGTAATCATCCTTAGAAAAAATGTTTGATGAATTTGGAGCTTGAAAATAAAACATATATATATGTATATGTATATATGTATATATATTTGTATATATCCTTTTGTGGTTAAATTGAGGTCATATCTTTTCTGCTAGTAACAATTTTGACTCTCTCTAAAGTCTTTATAGTATTTTCATTATTATTTCAAAAATTCTACAATAAGAGCTCTAATTTCCTATTGGCCTGACAACTTGTTAGGTTAATTTACACAAAGAAATGAATAGGTTGTATGAAAAATAACTTAAAAATAATACTGTGAGTCACTGTTTACATTTGGGTAATCAAGAAAGCATCTCCGAAGGAATCATATTTAAACTAGCACCTGAATTATAATTAGGAAAAACTGAACTTATAGAAACGACATATAATATTTTACAGTCCCCTATAGGCCATTTTGTTTTTCCTTCAAAGAGATGCATATAAACTTACTGGGTTCATTTTTACCAGCCTCTCATGATGTCACTTTCAGTTATAAGAAAATGTGTTTTAGTTCTGTCAGCTTGCCAACATCAAAACCATTTAAGTCTCAGTACATGATGGACCAGCCACAGATTAATTCTAGGCGGAAAGCAATATCCTTACCCACAGGAGCGCACACTGATGCATGAATTCATGAGCCACACGCGAAATTTAAAGCCCGCCTCCCATTCTTCACATCATTAGGGAGTCAATCTATTTGAGAGACGAATATTCTCCTATCAAAAATATCTGTATACAAGCACGTTGTCTGTGATTATTTTATAAGAAGCTCCACTATTAATATTCACACACACTTATGAAGGCTTGTGAATTATATTTATGTAATTCAGCTGCATAGCTTTAGATCTTTAAATTCAGAGGGGTACACACTGACGCATAAGCTGAAGGACTGTATACTTTTTACATATGTTCAATTTCCATTCAGACTTTGCTAAAATAAAACACAAATACTTCACACCACTGTTTGCTGTGTTTCTACCACTAAAATGTATTAAAATAAGCCGGCCACAGTACCTGCGCAACCACTGAAATGTTTTGCTGAGGTCAACAGTGATCTAAGTGTTCAATGTAATAAATATATTTCAATCCATTTTACTTCCCTTACACATTTCATACTGTCAATCATTCTCTCTTTCTTGAGTTTATTATTTTCCAGCTCCTTGAATTCCTTACGTTTCATTCCAATACTCGACTGATCCTTTCTCGTGTCTCTGGAGCAGCCCTCCCTTTACACAGTGCGGGTTCTTTTCTCGCCTCCGCTTCCTCTAAGGTTGGTAATCTTGGGACTGTGACTTCAGCTCTTTTTACTTCTCAGTGGAATTTTTCCCCCTTTTACACCATAAACTACAGACTTCACCTCTAATCAGAGTCCTTACACGTTTCTCATTCTGCCCCCCCCCAGTATAGACGAGTACATTCAGCTTCTTACTGGGCACATCCCTGGTGTCTAATCTGTTTTCCCAAAACTGAATGTCTCTCCTCCCTTCCCACCTGCTCCTCTGTGTCCTCAGGTGGTGGAGGGCACCCCCGTCAGTGCGGGAGCAGAAATAAGGGACTTGCCCTCAGCTACGTGCCTTTTCCCACCCCCCTCACCCCACGAACGAGGGCATTCTGTGGGTTCCTACCCCTTAATAGCTGTGCCTGTCCCTCTCTCATCCCCGCTGCTGGGTTCGTTGTCTTTGACCTGACTCATTGCAGTTGCCTCCTAACTGGTCTAATCTTATTTCCCTGTGGACCAGTCCATCAACCCTCTACACTCAGCCTTCTTTTTAATTGAGATGTAATTGACATATAACATTATATTAGTTTCAGGTGTACAACATAATGATTCCATATTTATATCTTTTGCAAGATGATCACCACAATAAATCTAGTTAACATCCATCGGCACACAGTTAAAATTCATTTTCTTGTGATGGAAAGTTTTAAGATCTACTGTCTTGGCAATTTTCAACATGCAGTGGAGTATGATTGATGATAGTTACCATGCTGTACTTCATTCCCTCAGGACTTACTGATTTTATAGCTGGAAGTTTGTAGCTTTGACCATGTTGACCCATTTTACCTCTCTTTCCCCCACCGCAATCACCAGTCTGTCCTCTGAACATATGAGGTGTTTTTTGTTTTTAGATTCCACATATACGTGAGATCACACAGTATTCGTCTTCCTCTCGGTCAGTTATCTCGCTTAGCGCAAGGCCCTCAAAGTCCAACCGTGTCGTCGCAAATGGTAGGATGCCCTTCCTTTTATGGCTAAATAATTTTCCATTTTATATACTCCAAATATGCCTTATTCATTCATCCACCAGTGAACACTCAGGCTGTTTCCATGTCTTGGTTATTGTAAATAATGCTGCAGTGAACACGGGCTGCAGATATCTTTTTGAGATCGTGTATTAATTTCCTTAGGGTAAATACCCAGAAGTGGGATTGCTGGGTCAATTGGTAGTTCTAATTTTAATTTTTTGAGGCATGCCCACACTGTTTCCCACAGTGGCTGCACCAATTTACATTCCCACCAACAGTGCCCAAGGGTTCCCTTTTCTCCATACCCTTGACAACACTTATTTCTGGTCTTTTTGATAATAGTCATTCTAACAGATGTGAAGTGATATCTCATTGTGGTTTTGATTTGCATATTTTAGGAATTTAAAGAAATATCCTTGGATTTTCTTAAGTATTTTAACATTATGAGGAACTAGAGGTTTTCTACAATGACACTATAGTTAATTTGCACAGAAAATTTTAAAACTAAAAATGAGAGGCAGCATTAAACTGAGGCCAATTAATGTAACTTGTTAATTCACGCCTTGTGTGGTGTTAAATTATAACAAGGTGGATCAGAGGTCCGATCGCTTCCTGATAAACTCACTGTTTCTTCCCAACCCGGCCTCTTGCTCAGGTCTCTGAGCCACAAGCACGTCCTTCCAGGATGGTGCCTGGAATAGCATGACCACAGCAGCACAAGTCCCATTTCTTAGAAAAATCATTAAACGCAGAGCATCTGCTAACTTTGAATACTTCTGCTGAATTAGCAGATGAACATCTCTCCTTGCACCTACTTTTATTATATTTTATTCTGCCCTTACAGATATGTGATTTCCTCCTTTGGAAAGCATACTTAAAACTTAAATTTGCGTCACCTGGGAAACGGGTCATTCACTCAGGCACATAAAGAGCTGCGTCCTCGCGGCCACTTGAGTCACCCGCACACCCATCTCCGTTGACGGTTGTGTTAATCACAGCGTTTAATGGCAGGGCCGCAGAGGCCAGAGGGAGAGGTGGATTCTCCCTGAAATGCCGCTCCCCTTGTCCAATTATAAACAGCGGGCTCCCTGTTTTCTTTTGGAAGGAGCTGTTGGACCTTCAGCAGGCCTACCGTCGGCTCCGCGGCCACCACCAGGCGAAAAGCGCCGAGCTGACCCTGGCCACCCACCGCGCGGCCCAGAGCGCGGCCGAGGTGACGCACCTGCGACTCCGCATGGGGGACCTGAAGCAGAGGCTCGTCCAGAAGGAAGGCCAGGTACCCTGAGTCCACGCGGGCCCGAGGGCTCGCAGGGGCTCTTCCGAGCACAGAGAAAGGCTTCTCCCGCACTAACAGGGGGCCTTAATCGGGATAAAAATCTTTATGCTTAACACCAGAATCAACTGAAAGAGGCAACTGCGAGGAAAGGAAACATTTCCTAGCCCGCGAGCTGGTCTCTGGTGCTCTCGGGGTTCGCATGCATGTGCCAGGCCCTCTCTGTGAGTCTCACAAAGAACCGGGGGGAAGCAGTGAACCCCCGAGGCAGGGCCCAGGCATGCTCACTGCTCACGCCAAGGAGACAGTTTGCACAGCAGGAGCCTGCGAACCCAAGCGTGGGTGAGGCTCGGGTGCGAATTGTCCTCAAGCCCCTGGCAGAGGGAGGGAGGAGGCAGGGGCTGTGTTCTCCGGGGACCGGGGACACTGTGGGAGTTTTCAGTGGTCACCTCCCATTGACCTTGGGAAGCGGTTGAGTTCTGCCCAGGATTTCCGGAGGCATAAGCAAGACGTGCCCAAGGCTAAGCTGGTCTCGCAGAATGAGCTAAATTAGGCTGAGCCTATATGATGACACTGGTTCCGTCTGCTCGGGGAACCTTCAAGGTTTGTGTTCCTTTGGTTTGATTTTAACAATTCAAANGCTGAGCCTATATGATGACACTGGTTCCGTCTGCTCGGGGAACCTTCAAGGTTGGTGTTCCTTTGGTTTGATTTTAACAATTCAAATATGTTTCAGCATGGTTGTGTGTGTGTGTGTGTGTGTGTGTGTGTGTGTGTGTGTGTGTGTGTGTTTATGTATGGGCACAGTATCCCCGAGGCTTANGTGTGTGTGTGTGTGTGTGTGTGTGTGTGTGTATGTGTGTGTGTGTGTTTATGTATGGGCATAGTATCCCCAAGGCCTTGTGTTTTAAGTTTTAAGCTTTCAGCCTATATACCAGAGAAATGCTGTATTTTTCATGATTATATATTAGAGACATATTAGGACACATATTCTGTCCAGTGCTCTCTGGTGTGTAAAAGAACATGCCGTCTTGTGTAAGGTCAACTCACTAATGGTTGATGGAACATTTAAGAGGCCTCGGCGTGATGTCCGCAAAGCCCACCTGCAATAGGTAGGTGATTTCAGCTGCGATTACAAACAGCAAAGAAAGATGTGTTTGAGTGAAACACAGTCCTGACTGTCAGTGTGACTGTGAGACCGTCACCGCACAGCAGCAGTCGCTTCAGGTGTTTGAGTCCCTGCACCTGCTCCTGAGGCAAACAAGCCAACCCATTAGTTCCCCAGTTAGAAAGACTGTCTCAAGATAATGCCAACCAGCTGGAAATTTAAAATATAAACCTGAATTACTATTCCACGGGATAATTAAATAACAGAGACATTCCACACTTGAAGGGTTCATTTTTAACAAAAAGTATTCCAGTCAAGCAAACTCGATTTTCTTCCTTAAGAACATGATATGAAAACAAGAACGATTTGCCCGCGAGGCTCTTACATTGTCCCCTGCTCTTACTGGCACTGACTTTTTGGTGGTTCTTTTATGGAGATATAGAGGTACTTTTTAATTGTGTGCATGTGTAGTGGGCTGGACTGCGGACCAGCAAGTCAGAAGACAAGTATGGATCAAGAGAATGATTTTAGGTTTTTATATTATCGCGACCATTATTCCTGTGAATGGTTTTAATATGCAAGTAGTTGTTGGGCATGGTGATAAATAAACCTCTGTGTTTGTCAATATAGGTTTTAAAAATTGCTTAGGACTGAACCATTGGCCAGGAAATGATAAAATTATCTAGGGTTCAAGGGCTAATGAAGCATTGGTTCCCAAAGAGCTGAGTCAGCAGTCTAATCATGTAATTTTAAAAAATGGCTGTGGTATCAGTCCTGTTTTCCCAGTACCATTTATTGAAGAGACTGTCTTTACTCCATTGTATATTCTTGCCTCCTTTGTCATAGATTAATTGACAATAGAGTCATGGGTTTATTTCTGGGCTCTCTATATTGTTCCATTGATCTACGTGTCTGTTTTTATAGCAGCGCCATGCAGTTTTGATTACTATGGTCTTGTAATATAGTTTGATATCAAGTAGCGTGATACCTCCAACTTTTTCTTCTTTTTAAAGATTGCTGTGGCTACTTGGGGTCTTTTGTGGTTCCATGTAAGTTTTGGAATTATTTTTTCTAGTTCTGTGGAAAATGTCATTGTTATTTTGATTTTTTAATCCCTTCTATATGGGTGTAAGAGAAGTACATATTGGAGTAAGAGAGGACATATTGAGATCTGATATAAATATTATCATTCGATCTTTGACTTTGAGGCCAATGCTGTGATTGGAAGATTGCTTGGGTAATTTTTCTTGTGGAAAGGGTAAAAATTATTTAATGAAGTAGGAGGAAAACACATAATTTGTAACCAAGAGGATGTGCTACATTATAGTGTATGTGAGTGAGTATGTGTGTGCGCATGTATGTGTTTTAAAATTCACAGCCCTTTTCTGTGGGAGGAATCTAGTCCCAAGAATGAATGGTGGGCATGGTCCTGTGATTTATTTGGCAAATAAAATCTGTGCTGCTTTCCAGGAGAATTGTTTAGAACCATAGTCCTATATGGAGAAGTATTTGGATAGATTTCATATTTGATGCCTAGAAATAGATGCATAGAAATGTTCATTCAACACAAAATATTTCAATGCTCTTCACCTTTACATCCAATCAGTTGATCACTAGAAAGGACTGAGCCAAAGCACTATTAACTCGTATGGGTTTTGAAATCTGGATTACTTGATTGTAGTTGTCAGATCTTCAGATTTTCTCTGATAAAGGCCATTCCTGTTTTGAGTGGCTGGGAATGAAATATTCTTCAAGGAAATAAGATTTTGGATTAGATAGCAGTCAGCATTTCTGCAATTTGACTCATCCTTGAGAAGCAAAGAAAATTCTGCTGAGCTTTTTAATTGCATAGTAGCAAATTCTTCAAATTGCAATTAATTACAATTAATGTTTAATTACAACTTGCAAATACAAAGTTTCTAACTCCCTCAAGTCAACAGATTTTAAATACATGAAAATGAGATACTAATCCTCTATACTGTAGAAAAAATAGATATTTGGGGGCCAGAAGAGAAAACTGAGGTTTTGATTAAAGAAGCAAATTTTTTAAATTCTTATTTAGATGAGTTGCTTTTCTTTAAGCAAATTATGTTTTAAAACTTAATTTTATGTACATTTGTTAGAACAAATTATTTTCTCACCATTTCATTGAAGTCCTTCTGGGAATCTGTATTACATCACATAATGGCAGAATTTAACTGGAACTTAATTCCCATAGAGCAGGACCCATCATGTACATATCCACATTAAAATACCAAAATAACTGACCACTTCAATAAATATGGTGGACGGAACAGGCTAATGAATGAAAAGATAACACAGTAAGCAAAGCTATTAGAGACTGAACGGCTGCAAACTGAACTCACAACTTTATGCCTCTTGCATGTAAGGAGCAAGGCGTATAATATAACCGGTTACTAAGACACGGGCTCTGCGCTGCGGAACTAGTAGCCGGACGGCTAAAAGACAACATGAGATAAGGTCTGCTAAAGAAGCTTTTCAATTTCGTAAAGCGATATCACATAAGAAGGAAAAGTGAAGGGAAAATTTAACGATCACCCCCCACAGTGTCATATTACTTCAGTATATGACTTCAAACACCAGGCCATTTTATGCATGTTTGCAGTCATTGCTTGCAAATCATACGCTCCATTTTACCAATTACCATAAGCAGTTTTTATGTTGCTATGTAGTTTCATAGTTGGTATAATATTTGTTTCCTTAGATATAAGTTTATTTAATCAATCTTCCCTTATTGAAAGTCATTTGGATTTTCTTTTCCCAACATAACTCTACTATGACTACTTTTATGTATAGACTATTTTTTCCCATTGGAAAAAAAAAAGTTTTGTAAGTGGAATTCTTTGGCTAAAAGATATGAAATAATTTGGCTATTCTTACAGGGAGTCTTACCAATTCCCTATGCTCCTCAGTGATAGGTCAGGTTGCAGAAATGTTGATGCTATCAAATGCAAACTCTCAACTTCATCTTAACTGATGCAAAAGTATGTTAATCCTCAAAATACTTATTTATAAAATCACTCAATTTGCTAAGTTACTGATTGGATTTACTTTTAATTTCAAATGTTCCCTTTAGCTAAACTCTTTCCCCTTAGTATAACTCAGTACTTACTCTTGACTTTTCTCTATTTTTCAGTAATAGCTTCCATAAAGGAAAGGACTTTCAAATAGTCAGTGAGCATTTTGTGTGAAAAGAAATGTAAGTCTGGGGTAAAGGAGGGCCCAGCCTGGAGCTGCCTCTAATTCACAATTCATGCTGCAGCGGATGAGAGTTAGCTTGTAGTAATTGCAAAATAAAGGTAGGTGACTCTTCTCCTTGCCTTAGAACTTTTAAGAGGATGTTCATGCTTTGAGTAGTTCATAGATTTCTTCCTCAAACTAACATTTATTGATCTAGGTGCTCAGTGCAATTCTAGATATAAGTTTTTAGAGATAGGCAAAATATATCCCCAGTGTAAGGGTTAAAGTCTAATGCAATGATTTTCTAACCTGCCTGCACCCTAGAAACAAACACTTCGGAAGATTTAAAAAACACATTCTAGTCTCACCTAGAGTCTGAGTCCATTGTTATGGGTGGGGCCCATGCATGAGTGGTTTTTAAAAGTTTTTCAAATGATTCTAAAGTCTAGTCAAATGTCAGAACCACTGGTCTAATGAGAAAAGGCGGCAGCCACCACTGAGTCTAATTCATGACGTTGGTGCCCACCGAACACACATATTTGTGATAACAGGTTTTACCAGGAGAGCATAAATAAAATGGCTAGCTGTTGAAAAAAGGCTCCTATTCCATTGTCATTAGTACCTGTTAGAATTGTAACACACAAAATTAATAAGTCTTCTACATTTGATAGAAATTCAAGAGGCGAAAAACCAC